TTTTTGCCATAAAAATATCCATATTTTTTTATGTTACAAATGTAATAAGGTCGTGTCCTGGATTCCAATAACGCTATTGACTTCAAATTTTAATCTTCAAAGCATTTCACTGAGTGCCCTATAAAGGGTTAATCCTTGATGATGAGTAAAACTTTATTTCATTTCATCGGATTGGTGACGTATTTCCGCCCTAGGCGCAAGAATGTTAACCTGTTGATTCTCGTTAAAAGTTGTACATGCACAATAGCTCCTCTGCAATACAAATGTATAGGACAGTGTTCTGTCAGAGCAGCATACCCATAGTCAATACTCATGCGCAAGATGTCAGATTTAAGTTTATCCCTTTAGTTTTGTATTAAAAATAAACTTTAAACTACCTCAAGGCCCGTGTATCCCTTTAGTCATGTACAAAAACCTATTTAAGATAGCCCTGCGCTTAAAAAAATACCAATAAAGTAAGTAATTAAATTGTTTTTTTGGGGCCCTGGGCAAAGACAGGCAGGGGGCCTTCCAAATTGAAAAGACAACACATAAAACAGACCCATTCTACAGATAGAGATCTACAGTATATCATTATTTTTCCAATGTTTTCATGTTACTTCATGTTCTGAATATGTATTTCCTCTTCTCTCTCTGCTTGTTTTTCCCACTGTTGCACCCGAATTTCCTCAGGCTCATCATCTTATCATGCCCGGATACATAGCGCCTCTTGCAAGATGTACGAAAAAATTGTTTTTAAATCATTAGCATGAGTTATTTGGGAGAGGAGGACACATTCACCATTTTTTAATCTTCTCTCAGGAATAAACCTTTACATAGTCCTCCAGACTGACGTAGGACTAAGGTTCAATCAGTCAGCTGTGATCAAAAACCTTGTTGTTCACTAAATTCAGTTTTAGTTTATTTCTATACCTCCAATTCACATCATGTCATCTCAGCTCACTTTATAGAGACAATTTAACCATATCATCAAGTTTTCTACCCAAGGAAATTCAGTCGATTGCATCGACTCATTGACTCTTCAGCAATCCCTCACACTAAGCATGCTTGTAGCGACAGTGGAGAGGAAAAGCTCCCTTTTAACAGGAAGAAACCTCCAGCAGAACCAGGCTCAGTGTGAGCGG